TTCGGATGGGGCGTAGGCTGAGGAGAAATCAACATAGAAAAAGCGGGGCTCTAGCCCGCTCGGCGCCGAGCCATGTGTGCAGCAGCGCGGCGCCGCTCGAGCGCCTATTTCATTTCACGGCGCGTCTATACCCCACTGGCGCCCACGCAAGTGCAAGTTCCTTCAACGCTGTTGGCGCTTTTGGGAGAGGGGAGGGGGGGGCGCTCACGATGCTGCCCTTTTAACGGTGTTAGCGCTCACAATGCCGTTCTGTCCTATTAACGGTATGAGCGCTCACGATGCTGTCCTATTAACGGTATTAGCGCTCACAACTCTGTCCTATTAACGGTATTAGCGCTCACGATGCTGTCCTATTAACGGCATTAGCGCTCACAACGCTGTCCTTTCAACGGCTTCAGCGCTCACAAAGCTGTCCTTTTTAGCGGCCTTAGCACTCAACATGCTGCAAGGGATTCTGGCTAGATTGCGAAGTTCCCCCCCGGATGGGGTGTAGGCTGAGGAGAAATCAACATAGAAAAAGGCGGGGCTCTGGCCCGCTTGGCAGCCCGCTCGGCGCCTAGCCTCGGCAGCCCGCTCAGCGCCTAGCCATGTGCGCAGCAGCGCGGCGCCGCTCGAGCACCTACTTCATTTCACGGCGCGTCTATACCATACTGGTGCCCACGCAACTGCAAATTCCTTCAATGCTGTCGGCGCTGTTGGCAGCGGGAAGGGGGGGGCCACCTCCCCGAACCTGCTCTGGAAGAAACAGGAGTCAAGCTCCCCCGGATTGTTGTTGAACTGCGTCAGCAAGCCTGTCAACGCTATCATCAGCGCGCGCAACGTTTTTACGGACGCTACCAATGGTCACAACGCTGTCTTGTTCACGGCATTAGCGCTCGCAAACGCTGTCCTATTAACGGCATTAGCGCTCACAATGCTGTCCTATTAACGGCACTAGCGCTCACGACGCTGTCCCATTAACGGTATTAGCGCTCACAATGCTGTCCTATTAACGGCACTAGCGCTCACAAGTCTGTCCTATACACGGCAATAGCGCTCATAACGCTGTCCTATTAACGGCGTTAGCGCTCACAACGTTGTCCTTTCAACGACTTCAGCGCTCACAACGCTGTCCTTTTTAGCGGCCTTAGCACTCAACATGCTGCAACGGATTCTTGCCAGATTGCGAAGAAAGTTCCCCCGGATGGGGTAGGCTGAGGAGAAATCAACATAGAAAAAGCAGACTCTAGCCCGCTCGGCGCCTAGCCATGTGCGCAGCAGCGCGGCGCTACCCTGCTGGCGCCCACGCAAGTGCAAGTTCCTTCAACGCTGTTGGCGCTTTTCGCAGAGGGAAGGGGGGGGGTCCACCTCCCCGGATCTGCTCTGGAAGAAACAGGAGCGCAGCTCCCCCGGACTGTTGTTGAAATGCGTCAGCAAACCTGTCAACGCTATCATCAGCGCGCGGGCGCTACCAATGGTTACAAAGCTGTCTTTTCAACGGCATTAGTGCTCACAACGCGGTCTTGTTCACGGCATTAGCGCTCGCAATGCTGTCCTATTAACGGCACTAGTGCTCACGACGCTGTCCCATTAACGGCATTGACGCTCACAATGCTGTCCTATTAACGGTATTAGCGCTCACGACGCTGTCCTATTAACGGTATTAGCGATCATAACACTGTCCTGTTGACCGCGGGGGGGGAGGGGTGGGGGGAAGGGGGGGGAGGGGGGCGGAGGGGGGAAAGGGCAAGAAGGGGGGGGGCATAGGGGTTGCGGGGGGGGGGGTGGGGGGGGGGAGGAGAGGAAGGGGGGGGGGAGGGCGGGGGGGGGGGGAGGGCCGGGGGGGGGGGGGGGAGGGGGGGGGGAAGGGGGGGGGGGAGGGGGGGGGGGGAGGGCGGGGAGGGGGGGGGGAGGGGGGGAGTCTCAGGAGGTTTTCACAAAAAAATAATGGGGTTCCCAAGAGGGCCTTGGCCAACAACAACAACAACACAACAACAACAACCACCACGACGACGACGACGACCACAACAACAACAACAACAACAACAACAACAACAACAACAACAACAACAACAACAACAACAACAACAACAACAATCATAGATTTCTACATGGGTCCCGCCAAATCCAACCCCCCAAATCCCCATATTTATATAAGCACAAAATAGTGGGAGGAGTCAGAGGCACGCTTCAGGATTCTGATTGTCAGACATGCGCGCAATGCTGTCGCCGCTCTCTTGTGCTTGGTTTAGGGTTCAAGCCGAGTTTTTTGC